AACACAATTTCTTGCACACGCTCACACCACGCATGCAACGCACGAACATATGATGGGAGGCAGACAGACGTGAATGCATATGATTGCATCACACAACAAACTCCCCCTCTGGCTGCGAACCATCATCCCACATGCCATAGCTCAAGCATGCATCCTCAATGCACACTCATCCCAGCAAGCTTCATGCCCTTCCAATGCTCAGATTCAGCCAGGCGCTTGGTGAGAAGGTCAGCCGCCTGCTGATGGGTCTTCACAATCTCCAGTCGCACCTCCTTGTCCAGGAGCCTCCTCACCCAGTGCCACTTGGGCCTGATGTGCTTTGTCAGCCTATGAAGGCAGACGTTCTTTGCAAGCTTCAGTGCCGACTCGTTGTCACAGAAAATCACGGTTGGCTCCTTCTGGCACACTCCGATCTCCTCCAACAAACGCCTCAGCCACACTACCTCATTTGCCCCATGATGCAGGGCCATATACTCTGTCTCACACGAGGACTGCCCCACCTCGTTCTGCTTCTTGCTGCGCTAGCTCACTGCACCTCCTCCAAACAGGCACACATAGCCTCCAATGCTGGTGCCATCCGCCTTCACAGAGTTGAAGCTGGCGTCGGTGTAGCAGGTCAGGAGCATCTCCCCCTTGCCCAAATCAGCTGCACCCCTCTGCAGCCTCTGTCGCACAGCACTGTACTCCAAGCCCACTGATGCGGTTCCAGACGGACTTTCCCGTCCTGCGTCTGCACTCTGACCGAGGTGGTGAGTTTTCTTCCGACCTCTTGGCAGCCTACTGTGCGGAGCACGACATCCGCCAGACGTTCACACTTCCGGCCTCTCCACAGCATAATGGGGTTGCTGAGCGCCGCATTGGCTTAGTCATGGAGATCGCTCGTACCTCCTTGATCCATGCGGCTGCCCCCCATTTCCTGTGGCCGTTTGCAGTCCGGTACGCTACGCATTAGCTCAACCTCTGGCCCCGTGTCTCTGCTCCGGAGACCTCGCCCACACTGCTGTGGACGGGGCAGGTTGGCGATGCGTCGCGTTTCCGGGTCTGGGGTGCTCGTGCCTTTGTCCGCGATACCACTCCGGACAAGCTCTCCGCCCGCGCTGTGCCTTGTGTCTTCCTTGGCTTTGTCCCCGACGCGCCTGGTTGGCAGTTTTTCCACCCCACCTCGCGCCGTGTCTTCCCCTCTCAGGACGTCACTTTTGACGAGTCGGTACCCTTTTACCGTTTGTTCCCCTACCTCACTGCTCTGCTCCCTCCCCCGCCTCTCTTCCTCACCCCAGGTGCCCCTTCGGTAGACCCCCTCCCTCCCCAGAGTGCTGCTCCCTCAGGTGTTTCCCAGGTAGACGCAGTCGAGCCTGTCGAGGTAGATGTCGACTCTGGTCCTGCGAGGGGTCCGGAGCCTGGGGGTGCTGAGACTGGGGGTGCTGAGCCTGGGGGTGCTGAGACTGGGGTGCTGAGCCTTGGGGTGCTGAGCCTGGGGGTGGTGGGACTGGGGGTGCTGAGCCTGGGGCTACTGGAGCTGGGGGTTCTGCCGGAGTTGGGGCTGGTGGTGCTGCGGGTACTGTGTTGCGGCCGGAGCCTCCCTCCCCTCAGCGGATACGTGAGAGGTACGCTCGGCGCTGCAGCCTCCTGAGTGGAGCTCCTAGTTCTGAGGTGCCGCTTGCTGGAGGCCCTGGAGCTGCTGGAGGTGCTGCTTGTGCTGCTGGAGGTACTCGAACTGCTGGAGGTGCTGCTGGAGGTACTCGAACTGCTGGAGGTGCTGCTGGTGCTGGTCCTGCTGGCGGTGCTGCTGGTGCTGCTGGCGGTACTGGAGCTGCTGGAGCTGCTGGTGGTGCTACTGGTACTGGGGTTGGAAGTGCTGCAGGGGCTGGAGCTGGAGGTGCTGACGCTCGTCCTCCTGCAGGTGCTGGAGCTGACGATGCACCTGTAGCTAGTGCTGCTGGAGGTACTAGAGTGGACACTACTGGAGCGCCTGGTGGTGTTGCGGGAGTTGGAGCTGCTGGTGGGGGTTCTGGTGCTGTCTCTGCTGGTTCTGGGGGCACGTCACGGCCGCGGCCGTACTTTGTTCCGCTCCTTGAGCAGGTTCTTGGTCAGCCGCCTCCTCCCGCTACTGCTCCCTCCGTAGAGTGTCCTCCACCTGTCTAGTCGCAGTCACAGTTACCACCTGCCTCGCCACTCCCTGGTCCTTCTCCCTACACTTGTCCGACAGGCGGTCTTACGGAGCGTCGTGAGCCTGAGTCTCGTCCTGCGTCGCCTGAGTCTCCTCCAGCGTCGCCTCTTTGTGCTACTCGTAAGGGTCATCCTGCTCCGCGTGAGCGTCCTCCGCCTGTCCCTGGCACACACTATATGACTCTGCGTCCTTCCACTGCTCCACAGCGTGTCCCTCTGCCGTCTCCTCCTGCGTCCTCCCTTCCTACTCTTGCTGAACCGGAGTCTCACTCCCTTCGTGGTGCTAGTCCTACTGTCACGAGTCTCCTGGCCACTGTTGTCACGGACCCTTCCTTTGAGTCCACTGCTGCGTCTGCCTTAGTTGCTGAGCTTGTCGACTTTGCTGCTCACTTTCGTCTAGACTACGTTGCGAGTCTTGTTGCTGAGTCTGAGTCTGTCTATCCTCCGTACGTCGAGGGTGAGTGTGCTCTTGGCACGGACGTCCTTGAGGACAGGCAGGAGGAGTTTGAGTGCTTTTCCACTACTGTACCTCATCTTGTGGCCATGCTGCTTGCACCTGAGGGAGATCCAGATGCTCCAGACATCCCGACCCCGCGCTCTTACGCTGAGGCGATCGCGGGTGAGTACTCCTCTCACTGGCAGTCAGCCACGGACACAGAGATGGCATCCTGGAAGTCCACTGGCACTTACGTCGACGAGGTTCTCCCTCCTGGGGCGAACATCGTCAGTGGCATGTGGATTTTCAGGGTGAAGCGGCCGCCAGGTTCTCCGCCTGTCCTCAAGGCTCGTTACATTGCTCGAGGCTTCAGTCAGCGAGAGGGAGTAGACTTCTTCCAGACCTTCTCTCCCACCCCGAAGATGACCACTCTTCGGGTTTTGCTGCACGTTGCCGCTCACCGTGACTACGAGCTTCACTCTCTTCACTTCAGCACAGCTTTCTTGCAGGGCAGCCTGCACGAGGAGATCTGGCTGCGCCGCCCTCCTGGCTTCACTGGGTCCTTTCCTCCTGGTACCCAGTGGAGCCTCCAGCGGCCAGTCTACGGTCTCCGCCAGGCGCCACGTGAGTGGCACGACACACTGGGGACTACACTTGCGGCTCTTGGGTTCGCGCCTTCTACTGCTGACCCGTCGCTGTTTCTGCGCACCGACATCTCGTTGTCGCCGTTCTACATCCTCGTGTATGTCGACGACTTGGTCTTTGCCACTGCTGACACTGAGGCTCTCACCCACGTGAAGTCGGAGCTGTAGAAGAGACACACGTGCACAGACCTGGGTGAGCTGACAAGATATGTCGGCTTGCGGATCACCCGGGACAGAGCACGCCGCACCATCACCGTGACTCAGTCACACATGGTGCAGCAGGTCCTTCAGCGCTTCCGCTTCACCTTGTCCTCGGCACAGGCCACTCCTCTAGCTACAGGTCACTCGCTCTCAGCTCCACCTTCGGACGAGTCCGTAGAGCCGAGTGGTCCTTACCCAGAGCTAGTTGGCTGCCTCATGTACCTGATGACTTGCACTCGTCCTGACCTCGCGTACCCTCTTGGTCTTCTGGCTTGCTACGTGGCTCCTGGTCGGCACCGACCTGAGCACATGGCTGCTGCAAAGAGGGTAGTGCGCTACTTGTGTAGTATATCAGGCATGGGGCTAGTGCTTGGAGGGAGGAGCTCAGTTGTTCTCACTGGGCACTCAGACGCTTCTTGGGTTGACGACCAGGCTACTCAGCGGTCGTCACAGGGTTATACCTTCAGCCTTGGCTCTGGTTCAGTTTCTTGGCGTTCTACTCGCTCGTCTTCAGTTCTCAGCTCCAGTTGTGAGGCTGAGATCTACGCCACAGCCATGGCTGCACAGGAGTTGCGCTGGCTCACCTACCTGCTGACTGACTTGGGAGAGCGGCCTTGTTCTCCTCCAGTGCTGGACGTCGACAACAAGGCTGCCATTACCTTGTGTGAGGAGCACAGACTAGAGCACAGAACAAAGCACATAGCTCTGCGTTACTTCCTGGCTCGAGAGCTGCAGCAGCGTGGTCAGCTTCGTCTGCGTTACGTGGCCACTCAGGCCAACACTGCTGATATATTCACCAAGGCACTTCAGTCTGGTGATCATCAGCGTTTCTGCACTATGCTAGGGCTTGTGCCCACTTTTCCTCACTTGCTGTAGGCTTTGCTTGTACTATGATCTGTATGTATATATATATATATATATATATATATATATACCTGCATGCTTGCTTTGCTAGGTAGAGATCATTGTGCTATTTGTGTTGCATATATGCCTCTGCATGTGAACTGGCCTTGTGGCCCTTTGCTTGTGCTCAGAGTGTGTGGTGACGTTGTGATCCACCCTGAGCTTGCTTTGTCTTTCTTGAGTGGTCTCGTGACCCCTTGCTCTCCCCCACTTTGCCTATGGGGGTGTGTCAAATGTCATATCTGCTACAGTTTGTTTAGGCTGTAGTGGGGTAGTTACTATGGGGTACAGTAAGTTTAGGGTTTCCTACTTGTACCCAACTCTTTTCTAGTGCAATCACTCTTGTTCATTCTAACACAGCCTAGAACCACTCACCAGCCGACAACCGCTGGCCAACTTTTGTCTTCACCCACATGACGAGATTCCAGCGGTCGCGGAAACGTTGGCTCCAGTGGGAGCTCGCGTTCCAGTTCTTCCCGGGGTGGTGCTTCTTCATCCACTCGCGGCTCCACTTTTGCGTGTCCTTGACCGAGATCGCCACCCCATTTGCGCGATGGAGACAGATGTATCGGTACAGCGTCGCCTCCATGTCGGGGTGGTGTGAGTGGCGGCCCGCCCCATGCATGCGCTTCCGAGAATTTGTAGCGCCCTTATACATGCCCGCTGCAGCCTGCGCGCTCCAGCGTCTGATGCACTCGATGCTGGCCGAAGACTCGGCCGAGGTCTTCTTCAGGGAGCCGAGCTCCGCGTAGCGACGCGCCCACTTCACCTTTTCGCGCACGGACCAGCTCCGCCTGGTCCTCTTAATCCCGCGACTGCGTGGGGAAGGGGGGTGGGAGTTAGCATTACGGATGGTGGGGTCTTTTGGCTTCGCCTTCTCAGGGAATGAAGGCATGGGGCCTGCAGCCGCCGCGTAGTCGTCGTCACTGCCCTGCGCCTTGTTGACCATGATGTCGTCTTTGTTCTTTTCGTCCTTCTTCTTCTGCCTCTTCGCGCCTTTGCTTGAACACGGGTCGCCATTGTCCTTCCGCTTCTTCTTGCTCTGGCGGCGCGGGGCAACCTTAGCAGGAACCTCCACCACCTTAGCCTTCCCCTTGTCAGCAGCAGAGACGCGAGGTCGCTGCTCCTCATCCGGGCTGTCATCGTCCGAGAGCACCACCCGGGTTTTTTTCTGGGACACGCCTGGGCGGTGACGCAGCCGCCTCTTCAACAGAGGCACGTCGTCATCTGACGAGACGCACCAAGGGTCGTCCACGGCGTCCTTGCCTTCGAAGAAGACAGCATCACGGCCATCACCCGCCTCCGCCACCACAACAGCAGCCGTATCTGCACCGGTTTCGGCATCCGCATCTGCATCCGCCTCCGCATCCGATCCCGCTTTGTCATCCGCCTCCGTCTCCGCATCCTTGTGCGCTGGTGCATCCGCATCCGCAACCGAATCACGCATCGCTCCCGTGGGCACATCCGCAGTAGCCGCCGCCTGAGCATCTACCGTCGCATCCGTCGCCGCATCAGCAACCGCATCCGCGCCTCCGTCGTCTTCATCATCACCGGCGCGCCACTCCTCCACATCCTCGCCGGAGCCTATCGGCTGCATCCACCAGTCGTCATCGTCGATGCCTCCTGCAGACACCTCGACACCAGATTCGCTGTCGTCGTGGCCGTTCTCCGGCCAGTCCTCTTCGTCCTCGTCGCCATGATCTTCCTTGCCGGCGTCTTTGCCGCCCTCTTCCTCATAACAACTTGCGCCAGAGCCGGCGTTGGCGGACCCCGCCGGTTGGCGCTTCTCTTTTGCCATGTCTACCCGGATGTCATCAACGGGCGAGTTGATGCGCCCATAGTTGGTAACCTGGACGTTAGGGAGAGGAGACGACGCGCTTGCAGGGTGCTTACTACGCATGATAGAGCCTGCTTAGAGCTAAGGTTGAGCCACTTTCGAGTTCCATGAGCTAAAAATAAAGCTCAACCTCGACTACCCCCCGTTCCAGAGTGCCCCCTCCCTTGGAAGGCGAGCCGCTCCTCTACGGCAAATTTGCTCGTAGAGGACAGCTCAGGATGGCAGGATGCTGCCATCGTGCTGCTGGCAGCGTTCTAGAAGGCTCTGTTCCCTGCTGGCAGCAAAACGACTCTGGAAGCATCATGAGATGGTGCCAGCAAGGTGGGATTCTGCCAGCACAAGCAGCATTGATGCTTCATATCACGTGGCACGAGGTGGCGGCGCATGAATCGCATCAAAATGTGGCTGTATTCAATGAATCCGCCCCGTGGGTGATTTCTACAGTCTTCCCAATTGTTACATGGTTCTTATAAATTTTGCCTATTTATAAGAATTATAAGACACCCCAAACCGTCCCAAATATAAGACACAGCAAGCATTTTTTTCTAATGTAAAAGATAAGACATATATGTCTTCTATCCGGGCAATGACGGTGGTCAAAGTGGGGTATGATCAGCACAACAAGCAGCAGTTCATAGTTCACAAATATAAGCAAAGCTAGAGACTATCACAGAGGGCTAGTGAGGAGGAGGAGGGACTATGAGAGGAGAGGAGGTAGTGGGCGGCAGCTGAAGCTGCTGGCATACGGCGCAACTGGAGCAACTGGCACACGGGCAACTGGAGCAACTGGCACACTGGCAACTGGAGTAACTGGCTCCGCGGCTAGACGAGCGGCAGGAGCAACTGACTCTCGGGCGATTGGAGCAACGGGCTCACGGGTGACTTGAGCGACGGGCTCACCGGCGACTGGCGCAACGGTCTCACGGGCAACTAGAGCTGCTGGCTTCATGGCGGCCACCCCCCTTCAACCTCCCCCTTTGTCCCAAATCTCCCGTTCACACCCCCTGCTGCACCCCTAGCTTCACTCCCACGACACCCCCCTAGCACCACTCCTTCGGCTCCCACACACCCACCCCCCTCAGCGGCAGCTGCAGCAGTGGGAGACGGAGGAGGAGGAGGAGGGGACGGTTCACACACCCGCCACCCCCATACCCGTCACCCCCATACCCTGAGTGTGCGGTAAGCGAGCTAAGGTGTGCGTGAAGCGTGCACAAGTGCGCGGGAAGCGAACTCGGGTGTGCGGTAAGTGAACTCAGGTGTGCCGGGAGGGGGGCTGTAGGGCGACGCGCGGGTCTACGGGGGCGGCGCACGGGTCCCACGGGGTGGCGCCGGGATGGCAGGGGCCGCGCGCGGGTCCCTAGGGCAACGCGACAGGATCGCGGGGGGCGCGCGCGGGTCCCTAGGGGCGACGCGACGGTCGACGGGGGGGACGCACGGTTCTCCGGGAGCAGCGCGACGGTCGACGGGGAGGGATGTGCGGGTCCCCGGGGTGACGCGACGGTCGACGCGGAGGGACGCGCGGGTCCCCGGGGTGACGCGTGAGGCAGAAAACCGCCGCACGCGGCGGGCAGAAAACCGCCATGCGCCCTGAGCGCGTGGCGGGAAGAAAAAAGTGTCGCGTACCACGGGGCGCGCGACAGACACGAAAGCAGCGGAAGCTTAGGGTGGGCCCACAGGTTAGGATCAAACGAGCTCTTAATACCCTGTCAAAATAGCAGGCAGAACGAAGGAGCCATAGCTAGGGTTTAGCTAGCTAGCCAAGAGAGAATATGCAAAAGAGAGAGGAAATGCACTAGCAAGCAGGTGGAAACATATAGGAAACTCTAAGGGGCCGTACTCACTATAGAGTACCCCATTGCAGGCAAGACAAACTACACATTCTGACAACAGTGGGGAAGCGAAGGTGTGGGTGCGGTCCGAGAAGAGATCGTAGGCTCTGAATACCAAGTGTTACGAGTGCAATTGAGTGATCGAGCGAGAAGTGCACTATCGAAGCAAGAGTCTCATGAGCGAAGGCATGGGCAAAGAATATAGCGAAACTATAGTGGTAACAGTAATGCGTGAAAATGGGGTGCGCGACGGGCCTGGCGCCAAGGTTGGGAATTGCCGAGACGGTGGTCCGGAGCGCGGGTTACCAACCGAACCGTGAGGTTGGGTCGCGCCGTGAACAGCGGCGGGAATAGTGTCGATGCGAATGTCGCGAGTGGTAACGGTTTACTGTTGGGTGCTGTTGGCGGGAGCAGTGGTGTACGCGCTAAGCAGGGACGCGAAGTAAGGAAAATGAATTTTCCTTACATTGTGCAAGTTTCGCCACTACAGCCTTTTACGAGGATGACCTCGGGTTGGTATCACGAGGTCGACGTGGAGCATCTGCAACGCTGGCTAGCCGCATTGCTGCAGCGTTGGCAAGCCATGCAGATGCAGCGCTGGCAGGTCGTTGACTTGCAGAGTTGGCAAACCACCTCCCTACTGCGTTGGCAGACCGTCGACCTGCACTGCTGGCAGGTCGCCCTGTTGCTGCGCTGGAGGTCGACCTTCCTGGTCGCTAGGCTACTAGGTTCCAGATGTAGTCACTTTACCATTGTAATTCCTAATCATTCTACACTTTGTATTCACGTTTTGCTAGTGGTTGCTCTAGAAACAAGCAAATAGTGAGAACACAACACAAGCTACGATCACTGATACCACAACAGTTCAGCTCCCACCGTTATAGAGTGACTCTCCGCAGGGCCCCTAACGTCGTTGGCAGGAGGAATACTTCTCGTTGTAGAACCGTCTTCGGCTGCGGCCCGTGATTTGAGCCACGTCGTTCATGTCGTTCAATAGCATGTTTATGCAGAACATGATGTTCAAAGGGCGGTAGGATCTTATGGTACAGAGAGCTGGTTCGTCGATTGAGACAATTGCTATAACAAAACAGTTCTATGGTTGCCATTGTCAGGCATATATGCTATAGTCTGTGTAGGCTGTAGTGGGGCAATTCATATGGGGAACAACACTTTAGGGCTTACTACTTGTACTCCTCATTCTGCTCAATGCATTCATTCTTCGTTTCTTATCATGGTATCGAGCAGGTTCCCAAGTGGGAACGCTACCTAGGGCCCACCACGATTTTTTTTCTTGCCCGGAGCGCGCTTCACTCCTGCCCGAGTCGCGCTCTGTGTGCCCTCCCTACCTTCGCGCCGCCCTTAGTGGCCCCTCTCACGGCCCCTTACGCCGCCCTTACGGCCCCTAGCGCCGCCCTCTACGGCCCCTCGCGCCGCCCTTACGGCCCCTTACGGCCCCTCGCGCTGCCTTTACGGCCCCTTACGGCCCCTCGCGCCGCCCTTGCGGCCCTCGCGCGGCCCCCTTTTGGCCCCTCGCGGCGCCCTTTCGGCCCCTTACGGCCCCGTCGCCGCCCCGTTTAGGCCCCTTGCGGCCCCTCTTCGGCCCCGTCTAGGCCCCTTGCGGCCCCTCTTCGGCCCTGTCTAGGCCCCTTGCGGCCCCTCTGCGGCCCCTCTACGACCCCGTCACCGCCATCTGCGGCCCCGTCGCCGCCACCTGCGGCCACGCAGCCGCCACCTGCGGCCCCGCCGCTACCTGCGGCCCCGTCCCCGCCACCTGCCACCCCGTCGCCGCCACATGCGGCCCCGTCGCCGCCACCTGCGGCCCCGTCGCCGTCACCTGCGGCCCCGTCGCCCTCCCCTAGCGGCCGCGTCGCCGCCTCTACCGGCCCTGTCACCGCTCAGCCGCCCAGCGACCTAGCCGCCGAGCAGCCCAGCAGCCGAGCCGCCCACCAGCCCAGCAGCCGAGCCGCCCAGCAGCCGCGCCGCCCAGCAGCCGAGCCGCCCAGCAGCCGAGCCGCCGAGCCGCCCAGCAGCTGAGCCGCCCAGCAGCCGAGCCGCCCTGCCGCCGAGCCGCCCAGCAGCCGAGCCGCCCAGCAGCCGAGCCGCCGAGCCGCCGAGCCGCCCTACTGTCGAGCCGCTGCTGTTCCCACCGATGCGCCCCAGCCCTCCTTCCCCGGACTGGTGAGCTCACTCCCTACTAGGCCACTGCAGTCATGGCTACCCCCAGTGTCCTTACTTTTGATGCTGAGGGCCGTGCCGTTGACTTTGAGGTCTGGGTCGATGACCTCCAGCTGTTTCTCCAGTGCGATAGGGCAGACGGACTATCTCTGTTCGATCTCACCTTTGGTGTCTCTCCTGGCCCGCCTGCTACTGCTGACAGCACTGTTCGCTCACAGTGGGCCACACGCGATGCTGCTGCTCGCCTTGCTGTGCGTCGCCACTTACCGACCACTGAGCGTGCACACTTTAGCCAGTACAAGAGTGCTCAGACCTTGTACGATGCTGTAGTTGCACGCTACTCTTCCCCTGCCACTGCTGCACTGAGCCGCCTCATGCTACCGTACCTCTTCCCTGACCTTGCTGCCTTTCCCACAGTCGCTGACCTCATTACGCACCTCCGCACTAGTGACACTCGCTACCGCGCTGCGCTTCCTGCTGAGTTACGCGCCAAGAACCCCCCCCCCATGTACATCACCCTCTACTACATAGTCACCCGGCTCCCTGACTCTCTTCGCGTAGTCAGGGACCACTTCCTCTCAGTTTGCCCCACCACTCTCACCGTTGACCTCCTCGAGAAGGGCCTCCTAGCAGCAGAGAAGAGCATCCTCGCTGTAGGAGCCTCTCGTGGTGACCCTCGCACCCCCATCTTTGAGGGGTGTTCCCCCTCCCCCCTCTTGCCCTCTGTTGCTTCTGCTGCTGCGGCCGACCTCGTTGGTTTCGAGTCGGTCGGCGCTGCGTCTGCCCCTAGCGGGAGACGCCGCACCGGCAAGGGCAAGGGGGGCAAGGGCGCTGGAGGGGCTGGCGGGGGCGGTGGAGGTGGTGGTGGAGGCAGTGGAGGGGGTGGGGGTGGTGGTGGGAGTGGTGGCGGGGGTGGCGGCGGCGGCGGCAGCAGTGGAGGCGGAGGAGGCGGCGGTGGTGGCGGAGGGAGCGGAGGCGGCGGAGGTGGCGGAGGAGGCGGAGGTGGAGGAGGCGGCGGAGGCGGCGGCGGCGGCGGCGGCGGTGGTGGAGCGGGTCGCG